AAACAACACAAGGGCTAGGGCTGTGGCTTAGAGGTAGAGCGCTCCCCTAGCAGGGTTAAGGCCCTGGGTTCGATCCTCAGCACCACGTAAAAATACATAAAATAAAGGTATTGAGCCCAACCACAGCTAAAAAATATTAAAATAACACACACAAAAATAAACATTTTCTTTCCAACTCCCAGTTCATCCCGCCACACTTCCACAGTTAACAAGACCCGCGGACTCGGAAACCCAGACTTCACCTTTAGAGACAGGGTCTCGCTGAGTTGCTCAGGACCTCACTAAGTGGCTGAGGCTGGCCTCCACCTTGTGATCCTCCCGCCTCAGCCTCCCAAGTTTCTGGACATGTGCCATCATCCCCAGCTCCACTGATTTTCAGCATTTCTTTTCTATATTTTTACAACTACAAGTTGAAGGAGCTACAATCCATGGACTTTTTTTTAATTTAATTTTTTTTTTTTTTTTTTTTTGATACCAGAGATGCAACCCAGGGGCACTCGACCACTGAGCCCCATCCCCAGCCCCAATTTTGTTATTTAGAGACAGGGTCTCACCGAGTTGCTTAGCGCCTCGTTTTTGCTGAGGCTGGCCTTGAATTCACAATCCTCCTGCCTCGGCCTCCTGAGCCGCTGGGTGACAGGCATGCGCCACCACGCCAGGCTTCTGCAGGGTCTTTACTCTGTAAGCAAAGTCACTTTCTGGACAGGTGGCATTTGCTAGTTCAGTTTGGGTGTGGGCTGTGGGTGTCCCAAGAAGCAGCGGGAGCAGTGACAACACTTAAGGAGAACTTGTACAGAGGCCACACATACAGGGAGGACTTTAGCTTGAATCCCTCATCACCGTGGCTCTTGGAAGTTCATCCTTATGTCCATAGCCTCATTTCCAACCCAACCCCCTGGTGACACCAAATTCCCTTCTGGGTTTTGTTTTTACCCTTTTTAGTTGTTTTGAGGCAGTCTTGCTAAGTTGCTGAGGCTGACCTCTAAGTTGCTGAGGCTGGCCTCCAAGTTGCTGAGGCTGGCCTCTAACTTGCGATCCTCCTGCCCCAGCCTCCCTAGCTGCTGGGATGACAGATGGATGGAGTCACACATGGGCCTTTCCCCAAAGCCTGAACTGGGTGCTGTCACCTTCTCCTTCCTCCTAGGAACCCAAGGCAAGTGGCAGCAGCCAGATGATGATGCAGTGGCTGGCCACCAAGTCCCCCAAAAAGGAGGAACCCAGGTCACCCCAAAAGGACAAGTCCGATGTTCCGCAGTGGACCAGCCAGTTCCTGCAGAGGAGTCCACCCCCCGCCAAGAGAGCGGCCCCCGGCCTCCT